AAATCAAGAAGGAATCCACAAAATTTGCAGCCCTTGAAAATAACCACTTATATGGTAGTAATAATAAATAGCGAGGTTTTTGTCAGGAATTTGATTCTGAATCATTTTTGCTCCCTGATAAAATTACTGCAATATTATTTATCTATTTTAGGTTATAGTGCCAATGATGGCATCGAGCCATTTCTTATGCAAGAAGAATCCCATGGAAGTAAGCTACTTGAATTGTTAATTTTTTACTAATATCTTATTTTAGACGATGGAGAATTTGTTCACACCAAGTATGTGTACATGTGATAGAAAATAAATTAAAGTGGATATAAAATAATTTGAACTATTAATTAATTATGTGTGCTTACTGTTAGAACTATAAAGTGCTTGCTATTAAGTCCTTTAGGATCCTGTTTCCCATGATGCTATTATTATACATACATACTAGTGTATTTTATTGTCTTACTTTTAGTTGTTTTATGTGCTGATTCTTAGTTGTGTTCAAAGGGTGATTATACTACTTTATTTCATTTAAAAATAATTTTTAAAATAAAGTAATAGTCACAAGGCCAGTGGCGGTGCCAAGTCAATGAAACAGAGGGGGCACTATATACAGGAAAGGGCACTATAATGTAGAAAAGAGTCAGTCAAGAATGGCTTGGGAGGCATTCACATCAAAAATACTAGTGCTTTAATTAGAATTTTGCCAACAGGCTGGGCCTGTGCCCTCCAGGCCCCCCCTTAAAACCGCCAGTGCACAAGAGATTCATAGAATTCAATATTCATAAAATCATGATAGAATAGTATATACGTGTATAAGCAGGAAATAGCAATCAGAAGTTAGATTATGACAAATAGAACAGTTTAGTGCATGCATGGCCACACAAAAGAATATTTTGAATACCGGTAGCAAATGGCAAGCAGAAGGCAGTTCTTGTCAGTTGAATGCTAGCATGTAGGACACAAAATTCTTACATGTAGCTTTTAAATTTTACTTTACTGTACAGTGTACACCGCAAATCATGAACAAGAACAAAAGTATAAAATTTTCATAAGGTCATATTTACACTAAGTCCTTGATACATGTAAGAAAATCTTTATGTAACTGGAGAAGCCATGAAAAAGCAGTGGTTTTTAGTATATAAATTTTGGTTGATTTTCTATAAAGTAAATCACGAGACATTCCTAGAATTTGATATTCATTGAGTGGTAATTCCCTAATTTAACAAACAACAGATTAAGGCTATCCACCCCTTCACTTGAGTCATGAGTATAGAAGATATAAGAGGAGAAGAAGGAGGACAAGGTGATAAACTAAAGGAATTGGAAGCTAGACTCA